AGAATAGATAGATAGATAGATAGATAGATAGATAGATAGATAGATAGATAGATAGATAGATAGATAGATAGATAGATAGATAGATAGATAATGGCGTTTGTTTGTTTATTTTTAAACAGTAACCTTTCTTTTCCATACAACGATCCTCAGTGAGGTTTCCAGAAATACAGAGGTCTCCAAAGAACTGCGCTCGACCCTTCGGCTCAAGAAAGGATGACGTCATATTGGGAGGAGCCACGCTTGTTGCTCTGCCTTCGTTCAGGGTGGCTCCAAATATAAAATGGGGCAGGCAGCAAATCAGACCGGAAATACCGAACACGATGGTCATGATTCCTGGGGGAAAGCGAAGGACAACTTGATTAGATCTAGTGTGACGGGCAGTGGGGTGGATGGGACCTTTGTGGTTGTTGTTGCTATTGTTGTTGTTGTTGTTGTTGTTGTTGTTGTTGTTGTTGTTGTTGTTGTTGTTGTTGTGTTGTTGTTGTTGTTGTTGTGGTTGTTATTGATGACGATGGTGATGTGATGAGGATGTCTTTGTTGTTGTTGCTGCTGTTGTTGTTGTTGTTGTTATTGTTGTTGCTGTTGTTGTTGTGTTTTCTTTACGTAACTAAAGGACGTGCTTGGGCTAAAACTGGACGTTTTTTGTATGTAACACCCACATTCGTCAATACTGCACAGGAAAATCTTGATCGTGATAATTTATCGAAAAAGAAAGAGAGATAACTGTGGAAACAGACGCATCATTATGCATGCAATTATAATGGTAAATGTAGCTATTTACGCCCCTATCAACATAATTCAGAATTCAGTCTAAGACGGATACTCGTTACACTACCTCAGAATTACAAAGTTCTATCTGACAATTTTGGCCGTTTTGTGTTACTAAGACCATGAAGTCGGATACCAAATGTTCTATCCGCACTATCAAAATCGTAATACTGTTCGGAGTTTGTTAGCAAGATATTCAAAGAACTGCATTCGAAAGAGCTTGACATGTTGTGAAACTCATATTTTTTATTTAGAGGAGGGAGCGGCAAATTTCTCAAAATTAGGTACAGAGCAGATAAAACTTTGCAAATATAGGTAGCGATTTCTCGAGGGAAATACTGGACGTCTTTGACGAGTTGTCCTCTTACACAGTGTCATCATAATGTAAATTACGAAATGAAAGCGTCGTGGAATGTTCCTAATCCCAAACAGTGGTATCGTAGAATGTTCCTAATCTCTACCAATGATGATATATAACAAGATGGTCCACTCCTCTCTTTGAGCCAATTAAAAAAGTGTCCTCAAAATTCGGTGGCGCCCTCTTCGCAAATAAGCGGACTTTACAAACAGAGTTACCCTACTTGTGTGAAAAGCAGTAAAAGTGAAACTAACAGGTTTTTGAATAAATTGGAACTGAAATGGTTACGCTGACCAAAAAAAAACTCATCCAGTGGAAGAGTCGACTGTTTCCTTCGTTTAATTTGACTTTAGAATAAAAGACGAGAGGTCATTACAATGTTTAAAAATCTAGAACTCCACATTGAACAAACCTGAAGAGCTGATGAACAGCAGTCGATCTGCGCACGCAAGGAGGTGCTATTCACATTCTTCTTCTGGAGAAACGAAATAGGGCTTCAAAACAAAGACTGCAGCGTCATCTGAGCCATTGCGCGGACTTCCGGCGGACACTTTTTTGACTGAGTGGACCATCTTATTATGTATCATCATTGTCTCTACCAATGGCATCGTAGAATGTTCCTAAGCTCTTCCAGTGACATCATGAATATTCGTAATCTCTACCAATGGTATTATGGAATGATCCTAATCTCTACCAATGGTATCATGGAATGTTCCTAATCTCTGCCAATGGTATCATGAAATGTTACTAATCTCTACCAATGGTAGTGGCGCCGGTGGCCTAGTGGTTAGGTTACCGGACACGTTATGACGAGATTGTGTGTTCGGGCGTTCGAGCCTCAGCTCGGTCCGACGTTGTGTTCTTGGAAGAGGCACTTTATAAAAAATTCCTATTTGACTCAGTCCTTTCAGAGATGGAACTTAAACTCGGAGGTCCCGCCTCTTAAAAAACCTACTAATATTGATAGAGACGTTGAACCCATACAAGTTCACCATTTTCAACAGAGGTATCGTGGAATGTTCCTAATCTCCAACAGTGGTATGGAGTCTCTCACCTAAAGCCTTTGGGATGTGCAGTCTGGAAGCGAGGTAGCTGACAAACAGGACACACAGAAGGTAGCCTACGTCATTGGCAGCCATGATGAGTCCTGTCTGGTTGGAGTTGAAGCCGAACTGCCGCTCGAGGGTGGTCACCTAGTGAA